TTGGCCGTTGTACCGTGCGGCACTATTGAAGATGTTGCGATGCGGAAAAACATCAGGGAATTTCGAAGTGAACTTTTATGCAATCTCCTTTTTTTTCTGTCGTGACTGCTCAGGTCATAGATGATCAAAGATCTCCACAATGTCCCCTCATTTTTAACTCTTGATAAATTTTGCCTTTATTCTTACTTCTCTCAAACCCTGTTCCATCATCCCTTTACTGATGCTTGCCATGTCGGTTATGCATCATTTTCCGCAACCCTTCTTGCCCTCAATCAGTCTTGTATCAGGTTTTCCCAGCCATTCTTCCTCGTTATGTGCATTTCAACTCTCTCTTTTTGATGTTAAATATAAGTGTGCTTTTTGTTTCCTTTTTCTATAAAACCTCGTCGTTGCCCACATGTTCAGTATATGGTATTCTCAACATCCTTCTGTATAACTATATTTCTGTTACTTAAATTATCTTCTTCATTCATTGCTATATAGGAGAATAGATATCACATAAAATGCAACAGTTCGTTGCCCACATGTTCAGTACATGGTATTCTCAACATCCTTCTGTATAACTATATTTCTGTTACTTAAATTATCTTCTTCATTCATTGCTATATAGGGGAACAGATATCACATAAAATGTAACAGTTCGTTGCCCACATGTTCAGTACATGGTATTCTCAACATCCTTCTGTATAACTATATTTCTGTTACTTGAATTATCTTCTTCATTCATTGCTATATAGGGGAACAGATATCACATAAAATGTAACAGTTCGTTGCCCACATGTTCAGTACATGGTATTCTCAACATCCTTCTGTATAACTATATTTCTGTTACTTAAATTATCTTCTTCATTCATTGCTATATAGGGGAACAGATATCACATAAAATGTAACAGTTCAGTACTCTTTTCTTTTTTTTCTAACGACGTTTTTCTGTCTCTTAATAATTGCTTATCTTTTGGAAGGCATTTTTGGCTATTCCAATGCGTCTTCTGATCTCAGTGTTGCACTTTTCGACCTCTGTTAAAACATTTCCTAGATATTTAAATTTTTATACTTGTTTGAGTTTGTTGTTTCCGATTTGTAATTATGTATGTTGGCCAGTTCCTTTGGCTAACAACCTTGACTTCTTCTTCTTGCAGTTGATGATTACTACTTTTGTTATGGGGGCCACCCCTTTTTCATAGAAGTGGATTCGACCAGTGTGTACTTGGACTGCTGCCGTTAAATATCCAGAGTCAGTCAGAATATAGAGAGTGAAAGAGGGAGTGAGCAGAGATTGTGATTGAGTTGGAGGTAGAGTAATAGCGTGAGGTAACCGCTTGTAGAAGTCACAGTTACAAGCACGTAAACTCTAAGGAAGTCCTACTTCGAGACTGGATTTACCAGTCTATATATATATATATACTGGATCTACTAACCGTATTACCAATTGTATTATTGTGTAAATACATTTATTTTTTATATTTCATTTCTGCGTTTGTCATTCATTGGAGACTGAATTTCATCTCGGAATCCACAACAACTTTCTTTTCACTTTCCATCACTACCTTCTGTAGGAGCATTTTAGTTTTATTTACGTGTCTACTACCAACACTAAGAGGATCCCCAAACGAGGCTATGTCAAAGGGCAAAGTCTCGTCTTGGGGAAACAGCAACCCGACTCCGTTTTGTACTGGGTCTACATTGTATATTGTTCACTTTCTGCTTTTTATGTGTAGGTATAACTTGTATAGATTTCATTTAGTATTGCCCATGTATTGCTCACGCTGTTTCCACAGAGTCTATGCATGCAATACTCTACCCAGTGATTAAATTAAAAACGATTACTTCATTAAATTCAGGTACTGACTCCAGCATTCACTGCAAATAGAGGAGGACTGATAACACGTGACAGTTCCCTACGCTTTTCTTTGTTTCTAAGGAAATTTTTTTTCTGTTTCTTAATACTATACTTTTCTTTAGGAATGCGCCTTTGGCTATCTCAATGTTACTTCGGATTTCAGTGTCACACTTTCTGTCCTCTATTAAAACACTTCCCAGATATTTAAATTTTTATGCTTCTTTTATTTTGGTATCTCCAATTTGTAATTTGTATATTGGGCTGTTCATTTTGATAACAGCTATGCATTTAGTCTTCTTGCAGTTTATGCAGTTTTCGTAGATTCCGCGCTTAAATTCGCCAAGTCGACGTACCAAAGAAGAAAGCTCATCAGAACAGTTATAGGGAAAATATTTATATAAATAACATAATTTTTTTTCTGTATTCCTCAAGTAAACATTGCATTCTCGGTAGATAAGGTAACTGGAATCATTTCAAACGTTAAAAAAATTGTGGCAAATTCAGTTAACTTATTAGACAAGGTCAAACAATTCTAGTACTTACCATGATATACAGGGTGCAGTGGGTAAATTGTCGCCATTTTATATTTATAATTTCGATTTTTTTAAAAAAATTATCCAGGAACCAACGCTTTAATACATTGAGCTTTTGGCAATCATTACTTCAAGTTTTTATGTAAATGCTATGGGAGTAAACAGTTTAAGGACAGAGCTTTATTTGAATAACAGTTTTATTATAAAAGAAAACAGAAACAATTTGTAATTGAGCACATATAATCAATCGACTACATGTCACTGAAAAGCATGAGACCAATAGGTCACCATGGGTTGCTATAATCATTGCGCCATCTTGGTGCGAAGTTTTTTACTAACACAAAGTGGAGTGATTATATTGAATTAATTGCTATGTCTGCTGCTAGGAAACAAGCCCCACTGTGTCATGCCAGGCATTTTTTCTCGTCGGAATCCATATTATTTAAAAAATATTATCATTTATCTTTCCGGTGAATATCGCTCCCAGATATGGACTGATGCTCCTGCGTATATTTAGAGATTATCGACAAATTTCAAAGAAGGATCTGTAATAATCGGTCCTGTCTGGACATCCCGACTGCAGTAACTTTTCCATCGCCATGATTAGGCTTCCCTCTGTCTTTTCTATAAATATTTCCAGGGCAATTGTTTTAATCAGACTTCCTCCTTGGTAACTCGACGGAATGAATTTAAACGTACTACTAGACTGGCAATTAGGTCTCATCTATTGGATTAGTTAGTTGTAAGCGTAAATTGTATTCTAATAGTTTATTTTCTCGTACTTTTCGGTTGAGGAACTCTCATAGGTTTTGTTTCTACTCTGTCACCTACAAACTTCAAATAAATTGACATACAACGTCAATCGCAGACTTACGTCTTTCGGAATCATGATCTTTTATTGTCATTTCTCCTCACTAAAGTATTCTCATTCTCTTTCGCTCACAGTAAACCCTTTGCGTCTTAGTGACATTATCACCTTTCTTGGCGTGAAATGATTTAAATACTAAACAAAACAAAACAAAACAAAAAGCAAACAAACAAAACTCATTTTTTGAAACTGATGTATCAAATTGAATATCTCAATTCGTTATCGTATCTTGTAAAACCCGTTAAGCTGGATATAAGAGAACATACTTCTTCATGCAACTGATAAAACCGTATTTATTTGCTAATGCAGTTTTTAAATCATATTTACGCGCACACATATAAACACGGAACACATTATGCATGTCATAATGCCCCAGTTTTGATCAAAAACACGCAACTTTGTGCTTTACATAATTGATTAAGCGGGACCATCACGCTAACCATTGTGCTTTAATTTTTGGCATGTCAGACGAGTTTTGGCAAGCGATAAAAATCAATAAAAGTTTGAAAAATGTACTTGGCTGATAGATATTCCATGGAACACATTATCCATTGTCTTTTGACAGCCTTTTAAAGATGACTAGCAAAAGAAAAAAACAACTTTTGTCAATATTTTCTTTTTCTTCAGTAGTAAACAAGTCGATAATATTTTTCCTAATGACATTTGGATAATAAAATATATTTGGCAAATCTATTCTTACCTTGTTCTTAGAAAGAGAGTTATCATTATTAATATTATATAAGGCTACATTCATCTTAATTTCGTTGCTTCATATTGCAAGGTTTAAATCGTTTTGACATTCGGCATAAAAATATCAGTATTTGAAAATCCTAATAAATAAAGGACTCCTTACGATATTTGAACATATATTACTAGAAAACAATATGATTTGCTTAGGTGTCCCTTCACGAGGTTGACGATTATGGCTCTTCACAATTTCTTGTCCTTTTTTAGGTCTTAATAAATTTTACCCTGTTCTATTTCTCTTAAAACCCTGTTCTACCTTTCATTTACTCAAATTCATTAAGGTTATGCGTTGTTTTCCTCCGTCTCTCTTGCCTTCAATCTGTCCAGTGAGTATCAGATTTTCCAACCCTTTTTTCCTCAATATAAACCCTAGAAATTTCAACTGCCTTTTTTCTGATGTTAAGTATGTTTCCTTTTAGTTCCCGCTTTCTCTAAAACTTTATCGTTGCTCATATGTTCGGTTAATTGCTGGTGTTCCCAGGTCCACCCTTACCCGGGGTGGTAGCGTATGTTAGGGTCCCAGCTACGGGCAAATAGTTAACCCTGAAACTGAAGTAAAAGGCATTGTAACAGTATAAAAATAGGTTTTAATACTAGAAATACTTTGTAAAAAATTATTTCCAGAAATAAATTTTTGAAGAAAAAAATATTACCAACAATACATTTTTTTTAAATAATATTAACAGCTATATATTTTAAAAATAATATTACCAGCTATATATTTTTCAGGATAAAAAATATTACAAGAAAAAAATTTTGACAAAACAAAATATTAACAGGAAAAAAAAGTTATCGGCCTTAAATAACATTGAGGTTGATATGTCGTAAAAAACAACAAACCAAATCAAACCAAACAGACGCAGCCTATTACTACTCTACTGATATTTCCATGGCAAGGGTTCAAATGACCCCCATTCTTTGTTCCGCCATCTTTACTACAAGGACGAATTGTGATACGTCCTCAGAGTTGAATAAATCTCATTCATTTGAATGTGTTTCCATGAACACTGGCTTACGGACATATCACGTTGAAACATAGGTTTTCGTACGATCGGGGAAGTTAAGCAACGTCGTGCCTGGTCAGTACCTAGATGGGCGACCGCTTGTGAATACCAAGTTCTGTATGCTTGGATATGCGGGTGGTGTAATGGATAACCGTTCGAGATTGGAAATCGGAGAGCTGAGCTCGAATTACAGTTGGGTTCGTTTTATTCGCAAATACCCTTGGGAAAGGTATGGATTCACCTCTTCTCTCACTCCAGTAATGGGTTAATTAGAAGGATATTTAACAGTAAATCGTGATTATCACAAAACTTTCTTACAATGTAAAAAACTTTTCTGGCTTCAAATAACCTGCAAAGTGTTGATAAGACGTAGAAAACAAGTTAATAAATCAGTCCATGAACAATACAATTTTAATCCCTTTGTTGCAATATTTCTCACATATCTTTAGAAGATAAGGAGATATTTCTTTTCTTTTAGTTATCTGAGTTTCGTAAGAATTTTGTCTCCAGTCAATCTTTGAGTAAATTTAAGTATCAATGTTTTGGTTGATTTATGTCTACACTGGTTTTGATTTGGGAAACATAAAATTTTTTATAAATGATTTTAGATATTCATAAAAGTAATCCTTTGAAGATTTGACCAACCATGTGGCTTTGTGGTGGTCCCGAATCTTCGAGAAGGCAAGTGGATGGAGTGGTTGCGACCCCAGGATTATCCATAAAAGCATAAAGAGGCAGGGAGCCGGGGGAAGGTGGCTCCAGCCCTGAGAGAAGTAGGTAGATGACTAAAGTAGTTGGAGTTGCCCAACGGCGAGTGACAAAAAGACAGGTAGTGAGGAATCAGGAGTCGCTGACCCCAGAGGCCAGTGAAATTAGGGTGATAGCAGTTCAGCCGAAGAGAAGGATAGCCGGCTAAGGGAGGAATGGTATTGTCGTTACTTTCCAACCAGTCTTGAAAAACAGTTGTCTTCAGTTTTTGTTGAAAGCGATCCCAGCCGTGATGACGAACCTGTGCACATAGCAAGTTGGGTGCATATGCAAATACACTCAACCTTGGAGATCATCACAGTTATAGTGAGCGACGATCAATCGGAGGACGTCGTCACAAAACACGTAGCAATTTCACCACGAATTGTGCCACACCTTCAATTAAGGGCTAATCGTTATTTATCCTGTTTGTCCTCATAATATTCACACAGGAACTTTACATACCAATTAAAATGGACTGGAGAGCAAGGACATAGGCGGGTGGTAAGGAGTTAAATGTTACTCATAGCAAAATAGGATGTTCACGTAATTTATTTATCATAACCATTGAAGAAGTATACACATCTACCTGAAGTGACTCTCGGGACTTGTATTTAGTAAGCTTTAATATACAAATAAAATCTGGGTAGCATGGGAAGATTACTGTAGGTTTATTTCGACTGTTTTTATCTCGTGGTTTCCTGGACCAAGCAACCTATAGACAACTGGATTAAAGGTTTCGTTAATGATTCTCAGTCCCCTGGAAGTTTTGATATTAATCACTGGATCTGGTTGTGCTAAAAAGTCAGATTCTCTGTTTTATTGGAGGAAAGAGATCATGGAGATAAGATTTTAAAAACAAGATAGGGAGCTAGATCTCATAATTATGCAGTTTAACCTGCAAGATGTAACCGCAAGTTCTATGTTAACAGTTTCTTCTCACGGTTCACAAGAGTTCAAAAAGAGGCGTCTACGCGCAGAGTTTTTCTTATTGCTTAAGAGACATTGGAGGACATTCCATTTTATCAGTCATTTCATTTATCGCTTGTGGATCAATTCCACTTTCTAACTTTCCAGTCACATTTAATTTTCAAAGAATTAAATACAATCTCAGTCATTTAAGTTTGTTTTCTTCTTGTTGGTTTATTGTCTTCTATCCTGAATAATGTTTGTGTTTTCCTCATATCCTTTCACCATCAATAACCACTTGCGTCTTAGAGGTTTCATTGCCTTTTGATAAGATTCGAAACAGCAATCACGAGAATTTCTAAAAAAATTGCTTTCTCTTTTAATATGTGTGAAACTTTTCAGGTTAAAGTTTTGGTTGAATTTATTTCTATGCATAACTATTGCATTTGATAAAGTTATAAGTTACCTTTTGTGTCTATAGATATTTTCTATTGCTGCAAGTTTCCTCACTATATTTTGGAGAGGGGCAGCTTATGTGGGCAGTTTACTTTAGAATTATTATTATTATGGATGTCTTTGATGCTGATCAGATCCATAATTGTTTTGGAATAAGTTATATTGATATTATTAAGAATGGATAAATTGTTTTGGGTAGCCTATGATAGGTAATATTTGAAAAATTCGGTGCGCAGACTCATATTTTGATAAGATTCGATAGAGACACTCTCGAGGATTTTCCGTCTAAGTAAGTTAATTCCTTTTCTTAATAAGTGGACCAGAAGTGTATTCGAATTTATTTCTAGGCATAACTAATGCATTTATATTTTGATCAGCCTGTGAGCTTTTCAGACGCTCATCGTATTTCTGAACGAGTAGATATTTACTCACCCCCCCCACCACGAGGTCAGGTTGTGACACAAGGTCGGTTTAATGTGCGGAGCCCGAGCGCGTACACCCGGGCAAGGAACCAAAATTCCCCGAGCTTCCGAAACAGTCGGTTGCGCTTGCTTTGGTGAGTTCACCGATCCTTCTCTCTAGTGCAATGAGAAGGCGCGGCCTCGGGCAGATTCCTGAACGAGTATACTGCCATGCATGCCATCCATATGACCAAACTGTTTAAGGACATGTCTCTAGTTTTTTATGTTGATGTTTCGGTAATTTAGTTGCTTGTAGTGGGTAAAAACCACCCCTAACATCTTATGTTCAATTTACTTATCTCCAATACTAAATATATTATAACATATTCCTACACCAAATTATCTGAAGTGTTTAGTATTTACTAATTACACATCCGCATATTTATAACAGATTCAGTGTATACGCCATGACTGTTTTCAGAAACAATAATAAGAGATACTGAGTTAAATTTCCTTGAAATATTTTACTAGTAGACACTAATTTAAACTCTTATAATATTCACAGTCGGTTGAATTGTTATAATATTTTTGAGGCTACCAATAGTATTTTCGTGAAAACAATCACCTAAAAACAAAATAGCAAAGAATAACGAAGAAGTGTTAAAACAATGACCTACACGAATAAACAGTTTTTTAGTGAAAAGCCGTCATACAAAAAATACTGCATTTAAATCTGCCAGACTTATATATACAGTGTCAGAGAAGGCACCTAGGGATTTAAAAGGTTAGTAATTTCATCATTTTTTTATTATTCAAAAATAGTTTTGTACAGAATGCCAATTAAAAAATGGAAAATATATTTTCATTTAATAAAAAAAATAAAAAAAAATGCTATGTAAATATCCTCAGTGCTTGACTTCATACAAACGTGGTCTTTCAAAGGCATTTTCCATAATAGCAGTTAATAATTCTAGGTGCAGCCTTCAAATTTATGCACGGATGTTATCCTTGTGTTGCTGAATTGACCGCAATCTGTACACACGCTTTAGCGTATCACCCCACCAAAAATAACCCGAATGTGTCAGGACAGGAGATTTCCGTGACCATAAAATTTTGCAATTTAACGAAAGGAGATGAACGGGTTAAATTCAAAATAAAATTGCATGACTTTTGTACTCTGCTCTCAGTGGATAATTTTCACTGCGTCAATATGAGTTCTGAAAAAAAAAAGAAATAAAAGAATTAAAAATATGACATGTTATGACAAGTTAAAATATCGAGTTGATATTTGCATTATATATATATATATATATATATATATATATATATATATATATATATATATATATATATATATATATATTTATATATATATATATATATATATATATATAGGTTTAAGGTTTAAAAAAATTTACAAATCGCGCCGTGTATAAAAGCAAAATTGTCCATATGTTGGCCTGAGCTTTGAACTATTGTTTCTTAAAATGATTAAAGATATGTTACTGGAATTCTCCGATGTTTTTACAACACTAATGGAATCTACTTTGAGCAATAAAATGTATAATTATTCTTCAAGCTTAACTGAAGAAAATAATATGTCCATCATTAATTAATCATAGCTAAGGATTGAAATCTTCAAATATATATATATATATATATATATATATATATATATATATATATATATTATTCTAGGATCATTTTTCAACTTATTCAATATGATCTTCGCCTCTCTAACCTTCTAACTTTCTGTCCTGGAGTAACAATGTGCCTCACAGTTTTCACGTACAATTTAATTCCTAAGTCTGTTTTCACTGATCTTTGGACTGTCATAGCTGAAACACTTCCCTCACCTGCCAAACGTTTTCGTTTTTTTTTCTAATTGATCACTTTAGCTCTAAGATGAAATGAGAATCCCTCTTTCTGTTTTGATGTTCTGATCCATGTTTTGTCACCACTGTTCCCTCTTTTTAAAACTTATTCCCCGTTATGTTGATGGTTCTTGAATGGACTTTGAAGATGGAAGCCAGAGTATGAATGTTGGCAACATTACTGATGGTCTGAATGATCTTTTTCTTCTCACCATTGCTTAGCTGAAACGACATAATGAGACTGACCCATTCTCTTTCGAGCTGAATAACCCAAATGGTTTTTCAATGATTCTTACGACAAATTGTGTCAAGATGGCTAAACGTCTTTTCTAAAAACCCAATTATTTTAGTGTTTTTTTTATATTAGACATTTTCCGGGATGCATAATTATGCTTAGAACGATACACTTTTACTGTTATACTATATATATATATATATATATATATATATATATATATATATATATATATATATTCACGTTCTATCCCTGATATTGAGCTTTTGCCTATTGATATAAAAAACATATTTTAAAAATTAAATTATATATTATATATATATATATATATATATATATATATATATATATAGTGGACTTTTTCGCCAGGAACAATGTTTAGTGTTTTTTTTTTTACATATTAAACATTTTGTAGGATGAATAATTATGCTGTTACACGGCTTTTTTTACTGTTACACCGGGTATATATATCTTGACTCTCTCGTGCGCCTTCAAAACCTGGGTACTCTACCGAAGTGAGATCCACAAAATTCCATCAGATGAAATTTTGTCAATTCCTGCAGAATACGTGGCAAGACCGTATCACAGAGAAAGAAATTCTTACTTGTGCAATAATGGAGAACATAGAAAGTATTATGACTCGCCATCGACTTCGATGGCTCGGACAACTTTCCCAAATGCCAGACATCGGCCGACCCAAACAAATCCTTTTCACATCTGACAAGCGACCACGCGGAACCACAAAGCTTCGAATAGAGAATCAGCTTAAAAACAGTCAAATGGGAGATAGAAGCTACAGAAAGGAACATTTGGAGGAAATCAGTCCCCGAAAAAACAACACAAGAAGACAAATAGAAAGTATAAGTGCCCAATGAATCTCTCGATAGCCTGAACCCACCTACCCTACCATGCGGTAGGTGTGGACGTCTCTGTAGATCATAGGACTGATTTCACACATAAATGTCGATGAGCATCGCAATACTCGGCCACGAGTTTTGCCAAATATATTATTAGTGGTAGAAAACTTGATGGCTGCCATGAATAGACAAAAAGGAAAAAAAAATGAAAAAGGAAAAAAAATGAAAAAGGAGCTAGCTAACCGGTTTCGAACCTCGATCAGCAGACCTAAATCAAGATTAATAAAAGTATAATTATCAATAAAAAGATGGACATGCAAGAAAAAAAAATCATTTTCATTTCTTCCTTTTACTTTTTTATTCAGAGGTGCAAATATAAATTTAGAAAAAAATATTAATTGACCACACAAGTATACTCCACCATGAAAAAAAAAAAAAACAAACAAAATCTTCAAATACTTAAAACCCTCCATATAAGGAACCTACAACCGACACTAAATAAGGTTACTTATGAGCACACACACACACACACACACACACACACACACACACACACACACACACACATATATATATATATATATATATATATGAATGATAAACAGGAATAGAACATTTTGTTTAATTTTGGTCGAATTAAGACAATTTCGGACGACAGAGAGTGTGCACTAATATCTGACGGGAGATAGCGAGAGATAGAGAGTGAGAGAGAGAGTGAGAGAGAGAAAGAGAGAGATAGGTTTATGAAATTGTGTAAAAAGAGGCGTTATCTGTTTAAAACCAATAAAATACTCCATATATTGCAGGCAAATGTTTTTATTAGTTTCTTAAATGATCTTCCAAGAAAAGCATTTAAAGCAAACAACGTTAATAGAAAACATATTGAGTGAACGCACGGAATAATGATAAACGACGCTGAAGCTACAAAAAGTTAAAACCAAAAACAGGAAGAAACGAATGATTAGAAATTATTCCAATTATATAAGACAATACGCATTACAAAAATGAATATTGAGAATGGCGGAGATTATAATTTGCAGAATGAGGAAAAGCAAACGCTTTTGTAATATATCTTAAGAAAATGAAAGTGTATACATATATATATATATATATATATATATATATATATATATATATATATATGTGTGTGTGTGTATGTGTGTGTGTGTTTGTGCGAGAGTGTGTTTTTGTGTGTGTGTGCCTGTAATTTTTGTTTATTTATATATGTGTGCCTATATATATATATATATATATATATATATATATATATATATATATATATATATATATAAAGATTAATAACTCAAATAAATTATGACTTAATGCATCTTCTCTATTACTCGCCCGCCGTATCTATTCATTTATTTTTTAATCTATTTATCTATCAATTTGTTTCTTTTTATCAATCTGTCTATCTTTTTCTATTTATTTATCTCTTTTTATCTCTCTCTCTCTATCCATTTATCTATCTATCTATCCCAGTTTCTTCCTTTTCTATCTGTCTGTTTTCGTCTCTCCGTTATCTATCTACCTATGTCTTTTTTCTATTTATCTATCTCTTCTTTTCTATCTATCTATCTATCTATCTATCTATCTATCTATCTATCTATCTATCTCTTACTTCTTCTTTCTATTATATATATATATATATATATATATGTGTGTGTGTGTGTGTGTAATTCATTTGCTGATGTGTTCACCTTTCCTTTCTTATTTGACTATTCTTTTTTTATTTCTCGACCACATATTTATAGACCAATCTGAAGGCTTTCAATTGACACTGGCAAAAGAACAATCCTTGTTGAATCGTACGCATACGATTTGTCTTAGTGCAAACAGGAAAAGGATATTTTAAATTATTAATGCTCGTTCAGGATTCAGTGCATCTTATTTCATCTTTATCAGCAACAACAACAACAACAACAACAATAATAATAATAATATTAATAACAATAAAAAAATAATGATAATAATACTAATACTAATAATAATTCCATTATTTGTATTAGTTGTAATTTTGAAATAGAAATTTATCAATAGAAAATTGTTACATTTTCTTGTATTTTCTTCTGATTGCAGCAATAACATAAAAGTTAAACAGCGCACAAAAACATAAAAAATGTCGTTTGAAAATCAATGGAAAGACATTTTATTTTGCTAGAAGGAAAATATGGCGCCAGTCATATACGCATGCGCAAACAGAGAGCAGGTAGAGGAGATGTGTTAATGATAAGAACAGCTTGTCGGTTGGTGCAAAATAATGTTTTTGCTGGTGTAGTTAATTCGATATTTACTGGCTGCACCTTAGTAGCAGATTCAGTGTAAACATCGTAAGTACATTTAACAATAATATTGTCAGGTCACATTATTGTAGCATATAACCCAGTATTACCTGTCACAGGAATATGGCTAGACTCTCAGCAGCGTTAAAATCAAGACCTGTTAAACGATGGCTGAAATCTCTTATAGGGTCAACAGTTATCTAAGCCAAATGGGGTATAATGGGCTCTATAGCTGTGTAAGCAACCAGTGTACATCCAAGTCATCGGCGATTAAATTGCTCAAGAAGCTGGCTAGACCATCAGCAATATTAAAAGCAAGACGTGTTAGAGGGTGGATAAATGAACGGGGCATCAGCGTCTAGACTAACGGGAATATAGCTAAACCCTTAACAAGATTAAAAACAAGACCTGTTAGGAGGTGGATAAGTGTACGGCTCAACAGTCGTCTAAGCTCAATGGGGTACATTGGCCCCTATAGCTATGTAAGCAACCAATGTATATTCGGCTCATTGGCGACTAAACTGTCGAAGAAGATTGCTATACCTTTAACGGGATTAAAAACAAGATATATTAAACGGTGGACACTGGCCTCTATAGCTATGTATGCGGCTAGTGCACGTCAGGGTCAACGGCGATTAAGTTGTTGAGGAACATGACTAGACTCTAAGCAGGATTAAAAACAAGACCTGTTAGGGGGTGGATCAAGCATCTTTTAGGGACAGCAGTCATCTAATCCCAACTGGGTACACTGGTCACTCTAGCTATATATACAACCAGTGCCGTGATGACAGAGGGCAGAGGGCTTAGTAGCCTAAGTCAACGGTCAGGTTAGATACTTCACCGACGAAATGAAGGTTCATATATACGTGACAAAGGCGAGCCTTTATTTTGGAGGATATCGACTGTGGTTTGACCTGGAGTGGGATATCGTCTGCCAGGTCTGCTTGTCCAAGACATGCTAGGCAGGAATGAACGAATCTCCGGCTTTTAAGCCATATATAGGGAGGGAACATGTCAGGTGAATTGTACACCAAATCTACGACCATACCCGGTCATGGGACAAATGATAATGATGAGGATAATGATGAATATGCTATCAGAAAAAAAAAAGCCTGCAGACAAAGCAAGCGACCATAGACCCAACTCCTTATCTTATTTTCTCTTTCTTTCCAGATGAAATCGAATCTGACTGTTCAAAGAAGACTTCAAAAGTAACTAGTAGCGGCTTCACTTGAAAATACACAGACTTTCGCTTCGCGGTGTTAAAAGGTACCTGTAGAAAAAGTGTTTAGCACAGCAAATACATTCATGTTGACATGGTTGTAACATTAGGGAATGACGATCCAGCTTTATCAAAAGTGGGCAGCTGAAATTAGGAAAGGAAGACAGATTACCCAAGGTCTGCACCTCCTGGAACTGTCACCAGCAAGGAAAACATTGATCGTTTTCACCACAGCTCTCACCTCGGTATCCATGTTGATGACACAACTATTTATCCAATCCTCACTTTCCAGTCTCGATAAAGAGTCTCCATGTCCTTGTAGATAACTAATTATTTTCCATCCTGCACATGAAGGATTTGGCGAGCCATGGAAAGTGCTTGGACGAACTATATTTCTTGTTTCCACCATGTTTAATATTCATGGTTAGGGTTGAAATCCGGTACCAATAAATAACAGACGCCAGGAATGAATATATGAAAATAATGTATTAACGTAATAATACAAACTGGTAATGCAGGTTAGTAGTTCCAGGAATACGGGTTAGTAGCAATATATATATACAGTCTTTGGTATTGAAATATCGCTGTATGTCTTCTTACGGAGTCTACGTGCTCGCTCACTGTGACTCCTACAACGCTGTTACCTCACCCTCACTCTTCCGGTTACCTACAACCTTTTACTCTGTCACTCTGGACTCGACTCGACTCTCGTCTCAACTCTCGGGTCTTCCCGTAGCAGTAGTATATGTATATACTGGGTGAGTCCATTTGTGTAAAAAGGGGTGGACCCCTAAACAATAACATTGTAGAAAACTACCCACATACCCACCATATCCCATCGGTGAGAAGTAAGTTCCACTCAAACAGTTTCTTCCCGCAAATCACTGCTCTGTGAAACAGACTCCCAAGAGGATATTTCCCTGATCACTACAATCTTAACCTGTTTAAATCTAGAGTTAACGGTTATCGTCCTCTCTTATCCATGTAAACTACTCCTGCCTCGAGTGGCACCGAACCTTGTACAGGGTGAACCTTACTCTGTAAAAAAAAAAAAAAAAAAAAAAAAAATTGACGGATATCTACTGAAAAGAAATATGACACATGACAAGATCAGATTTTTTTTTATACCGAAGTTCATTTAATACCAACCTCAGGATCCAGTTATGAATGTGGAAAGGATATCAAAAGGAACAAACAAATATATGGATAAAATTTCCGGCAACCCTAACATATGTAAATTATTAAAAAAAATCCTACTTTTTCTCACTCTTTGTGAATCGAACACAGTTACATTTTTTTCTTATTGCCGTTCTTTCTTTCTTTCTTTCCTTTCTTTCTTTCTTTCTTTCTTTCTTTCTTTCTTTCTTTCTTTCCTTTTCTTTCTTTCTTTCTTTCTTTCTTGTTGCATGGCGACTTATCTTTTTGCATATTCAGATACAAAAATTGTCTCTTGAAATTTCTGGTTGAGTCAACTCTTACTACACAAAGTAATAGTAAAACACAACAACAACAACAACAACAACAACAACAATAATAATAATAATAATAATAATAATAATAATAATAATAGCTTCTTTCCATGAATCACTGCTCTATGGAACTGACTCCAAAGAGAATGTTTCCACGGTTACTACAATATTAACCGGTTCATGTCTATACTTAACCGTTATCTTCCGCTTCTATCCGTATAAACTGCACGTTAATTTAACATTCTACCTCGAGTTGTCCTCGGGCCTTGTACAGTCTGAGTCTTTCTACAAAAAGAAAACAAAACAAACAAAACAAAAAAAAACAAGCACCAATGTGATGATAATTAAGTCAAAGAATCGCTTCTTAAATTTGAACACTTCCAAAACGAATCTTTCCTCTGTTAATCATCTAGATGGCTCCTTTCTGCCTTCCACCAGCATGGCAGATGCTAACCCCCAGAAGCATGGTTTATTGCGCCATCTCTAGCTAACATTCTCGGCTGACATGAAGTGAAGAGATTATATTGACTCAACTGCTAAGTTTTTGAGTCGGCGATAGAGAGACAATCCATGCATTGGAAACAGCCTTCTTCACCTTCTCCAAAGAAAGCCAAGGTCGTTTTATCTGCAGGTAAGGTGATGGCTTCAGTGTTTTGGGATGTAAAATAAATTGATATTATAGATTACAACCAATGGAAGGTACTATGCTAATCTGTTGAGGCAGTAATGAAAGACTATCAAGACAAAATGCCTAGGAAACATTTTCAGGACAATGTTCCAGCACACAAGTGCTTGGTTTTTAATGGCTGCTTTACGGGACTACCGTAGCATTAAACTGGATTGTCGCTTTCTCCTTTCTCCTGGTTTGGCCCCATCTGACTATCATCTCTTCCCGTTGGGGAAAATGAAAAAAAATTATCTGGGAACCAGTATCTATGTGATGATGAAGTCATATCTATTGTTCATGTTTTGACAAACGGGATGAAAGTTTCTTTACCAATGGGATTCAAGCATTGCACTTCCGCCGGAAGTAGTATGTGAACCGCAAAGGGGTACTATGTTGAAAAATAAAACTTATTTAATCACATTCCATGAGAGTACCTTGGTCAGCCTATGCACTTTTTAGTCAAATCTAGTAGTAATTTAACATTTTGAATTAGTGTTACTTTCCTCTTAATTTCTTTGCCAATTAATACACAGCAGTTATAGCAGGTACCTCCACGAGATCGCAAAAAAATTGCATAGCATGATGAAAAAGACGCCAAACTTGACGAAAACAAAATTTTATCGTCTGAATGTTTATGTTATTATTAAGAAGAAAGATCAAAGTATTTTGGGGGTATTTTTTACATTTTTTAATCGTTACTAGCAAGTCCGAAATTTTCGTTAAAAATCTTTTTTTTTTTTTTTTGAGTCAGCAAAATTGACAGATAATCGATCATGGCAATCATTTTTTTTTTCCATTTTATAAAAAAGATGAAAATCTCAGTTTGAAATTCTTTTAAAAATCAATTATCATTTTTTCAAAACTTATTGTAAGAAAATCAGAAAATATAATGTTTATTTAAAATATTTTCAACCAAGCTTAACGTAACTTCTGCGCCGAAAAGATTTAATTTGAAAATAAAACAAAGCAGGTCGCGTCACTTGGAAGGTGATGAATGATAGATTGACGAATTACGTGAGGATAATTTGTTCTATGGAAGGAGAAAAGTGAAATTATTTAGATTTAAGTGAACAAATTATTTACTTCGTTATTTTTAAGGAAAACTGTCAGCGCTCGTTTTTTTTTTGGTACTTAGATTTCACCTTTACGTTTACGATGCTTTATGGAAAATATATTATAAAGAAATTAAAATAAGACTGTTAAGAGTGAGATTAAATTTCATATTTCATAAGAAAGGTATCTAATTAATTTATAGGTACCTTTCTTAAGAAATCTTATCAGAAGTGTACATAATATACTATAATTTTATGTACATTTGCTACATTTTAATGTGTTATTTGTATTTCCATTAATTTAATTATTAATTTTGATATTTCATTTATGGAAAAAATGTCATAAATGAGATTAATATAAAAATAATATCATATAAATTTCATAAGATGATACTGATACTTGTAGGTACCTTTCTCAGTTGAAATTGAAAAATCAAAAAAAACTTCACACGTGTTTCGCAAAAGTAAAGGCCTTAACAGCGGAGAACAATGCTTAACTCAAATAACGCGACTTAATTGTATTCTGGTTGGTCTTACGTACTTTATAATTACAGCCCGCTTATAAACACAAAATTACATTTCTTAATTACTGCGGGTTTTCTGATTAGTCAAAACGATACAATTTACAACGCGCTAAAAAAAAGATCTATCTCATACGGACACTTACGAAACATGGTTGCGGCTTTTAACTAATTTTATAATATTTTAAAAACTTAAATGTAAAAATCTATTATAATTGAAGAAATAACAAATAATTGTATTAAAAATTCATTTTTCATCGAAAAAAATTTTGCTTTCAGAAAATATTGTCCATATTCATAAAAACAACTAAAAGCAAATAAAATTATTTGAAATTAAATATGTTTGTTTTATTGAGTTTTGTATGTTACGATTCAGAGGTGATTTTCAGCTGTGCGGGGAGGGTCCAATTAAAAACAAAAAATAACATTATTTTCATTCCTTTGTGCTTTTAACTATTGTAATTACTAAAGTGGACTCGATCGAATTTTTAGAGTTTTCATAAAATTAGTTATGGGGGTGGTTATAAATATTAAAAAAATATTTCTGCCATGATTTTAATAAAAAAAAACATATTTATAATAATTTCGATTATCTGTGAATAGTTTCCGAAAGTTTTCATTAACATTCGACAATTATCTCTATTTTTGCAAGACTTTAGAAATTAATGTGTGTCATACAAAAAAAAAGTGCTAAAAATTGTCTATGTTATTTTACTAGTTCCGGTGATACAAAGAGAAACAAAGATTTTTAAATGAAAATTCAGAATGTTCTAAAAAGAAGGAAATTTTTTTTTTTAAATAATAAAAATACACTTTGATCTTTCCTCTTAATAATAACATAAACATATAGACGATAAAATTTTTCTTTCGTCTTTTTGGTGTCTTTTTCTTCATCCTATGCTTTTTTTAGCCATCTCATGGAAGTCGGATAGGATCTAGCTTACGTGTATATCATGCTGAAACACAGGCTTTCGTACGATCGGCGAAGTTAAGCAACATCGATCCTGGTAATACCTAGACGGGCGACCAGTTGGGCATACTGGATGCCAAAAACTTGGCTGCTCGAGGAGTGAAATGGATAACATTGAGAGCGATCATGAATAGAAAAAAAGGTACATCCCAGCCGCGCCTCCCAACACGCAATTGGGCCAGCGCGTAAGGATTAATGTCCTATTTCTCCCCGTGGATCTTTGGAAAGCCTCCGCCCAACAAAAAAGACATTTACAGACTGAGAAGAAGAATTAATAATATTTATAGTTTTATATTGTCAGAATTTCTGAAACAAATCATTTCATTTTTTTTTTTAATTTCGGGCCAGTCTTTTTTCCATTTTATTTCTGTTGATACTTTGTGTCAAGTCATAGTCTCAGCCTTAAATTCTTTAAATTAGCAAAACTTTACTGCTGTTATCATTATTGATTAGAATTGGTCTTAAGTTTAAGAAATAGAATCAGTTTTAATTTTTTTTAATTTCCTAAATGAAATTTTGTCAGTTGTGACTAATTTTGGATTAGTATGTCAGTCATTAGTTTTCTGTAGCATTTTATCACAATTCAAAGATCCTTACTTTACGAGCATTTGTAGCGTAGATGGGAAATAAAACATAAATTTGCATTCTGTTACACTTGGAAGGAACGTGACTTACTGTGACAGCATCCTAGTGAAAGATCAATCAACAAACGTCATTTATTTATATACCACAGAAGTAGGGTGTTTTCATATACAAAATTAATAGATAGCTACAGTGACATCTATCTACATAGAGATATAAGGAATATATATATATATATATATATATATATATATATATATATATATATTTAAGCATTACGCCCCGAGCAAGGCGTGAAGCCACTAGGATGCAGGGGGTTGCGGAAGATTTGGAGCAAGAGCAGATAGGAGTGATAGAAGAAAGGATGAGGAGAGGGATAGTGGATAGATCAAGGTAACTGGAGATGTCGATTGACATTACATTTAAATAGTTGGAGATTATAGCTCTCAGGGAAACAGTAATTGGGAAAAGTGTTCCACAGGCGAGAGGTGCGAGGTATGAAGCTATTGGAGTAGAAGAGACGGCTACATTTAAAAGTTTCTACAGTGTAAGGGTGGGAGCGGGATGCCAGCCTCGTAGGGCGCTTGAATTCATGAAGTCTGGGAACCAGTGAAAGCAGTTCATCAGAGCAATTACCATGAAAGTATTTGTAGAAAAGACAGAGAGAGGCGACGGCGCGTCTGTGACAGAGTGACTGTAGACGAGACGCCAGATCAGAGCCAATTATATTACATATCCGTCTCTGGATCTTGTCAAGAACTCCGAGGTAAACATGAGGTGCCCCAGACCATATATGGCAGCAATACTCCATGCAATACTCCATGGTTGATTTGTATATTTGAAGTATTCCGGGGAGAAAAATTTCCTGGCGCGGCACAGAGAGCCAACTTTCCTCGCGGTGGACGAAGCAATTGACTCAATGTATTTGTTCAATCTCAGGTCAGTAGTCAACGTGAGACCGAGCAGACGCAGGGAGTTGCTCTCAAGAAGTTGACTATCAAACATTCTAATGGGGGGCAGGCAAAGATCTCTATGGTGATTAATAGAGAGTAGTTTAGTTTTTGAGGCGTTAAAGTTGACCAGCCAATTCATGCCCCAATTAACAACCGATTGGAGGTCCTTTTCGAGACGAGTGGCCAGGTTAGTTTTGTCAGCGACACTAGATTTGTTTTTGAAGCGGGAGTAAATTGTAG